TTCATCATGTGGAGGAGCTGCAAGTTGGTGATATGTCAGAAGTCTTACCAGCAGACCTGCTCTTTTTATTAATAACTTGACATTCCTGTCACTTTTAAAAAGACGACACGGGATGCCTGATGCATCAGCTCAACTGGCACTCCACCCCTTTGTGGTAGAAATATTAAACAACTGGCAATTTACTGCTCTTGATGACGCCCCAGTTTTGATTTTGTTATTTCTCTTATGATTTGGTACAAGGTTTTTTTGTTAATCCTTTCCATTTTTCCCCCCTCCCCATATGAAAGCTATTTTCCATGGTTGGAAAATATTTGTTTGCACAGTAAGAGAAATAGTATTCCTTTTATTTTTGTTTGTTATGGATTCAAACTGGTATGCTCCCAGACAACAAAGCCTGTCATCGGGAATTAAGACAATGATTCAAATTTATCCTTGAAGTCTTTTTCTTTTCCTTCCTAAAAATACTGGTTCCAGATGTCAAGGAGACAAAAGGCACATCTTCAGTTCTGTACACTTTTTCTTTCCTTGCAGTTGAGGTGGGAATATGACACATGTGGGCTGGGCTCACTGGCTCTGTGTGCTGCAGATGTAAGGCTCTTAGGCTTCTCAAGAGGAGGGACCTGTAGCTGTTTCCATCTAGCAAAAGATGCCAAGCCCCTGCCTGCTGTCGCGATTGTCAGTTTGTCCTTTTGTGGAAAGATACACCTGAGGCTGCTTTTAAGCCTCCTGTTTCATCCTTGAAGCCTGTCTCAGAAATGCCCTTGGCTTTTTGCAAGGAGAAAATTTGGGCCAGGAGGGAGACTCAGAACTGCCTGCTGGAGGATTTTCATACAGGAATTGCTGCATAGTTGGGATTTGTCCAAAATAGGAGCCTTGAACAGGTTTTCCACAGGTGTTGTTTGTTTTTTTTAACATTTTAAACCTCTGTTCTCATTACTTCCTCCCCCTTCACCCCAGATTCTTACAGAGTATTTAGCTCCTTTTGGGAATTATTAAAAAGGAGGCTTGGTAGTATGGCATCAATTTCATTTTCCTTCTTCCTGTTTGAGCACATCAAATGCATGTTGAAGGTTACAGTTTCAATCCATAGCATCTGTATTGGTTAATATCCAGTCAAGGGTAGTTGATCAGCTTGTGCCAAGGGAGAAAGTTGTTAGCAACACAAATCAGGAATTTCCTGGAAGGACTATGCTTGGTCTTCCAACAGATGTTAGCTACTTAAAGGCCCCCATCATTGTGCTTCTTCAGAAGAGCTATAATTTGCTTTTGGAAGGCAACACCTACACCTTCTTAATTGGGCACGTAGCAGTTCATACCAACAATGTTCCTCCTGCTATTTGTTCCTCCATTTATTTTATTCTAGAAGCTCTTTGCAGGATCATCAAGTTGGTTGATTTGGATTTCCGAGCAAACGTAGATGTCAATATACTGTTCAAGTCTTTGTCCCTTTCTGTTGCTTATGTTTCTTGGAACGAATTACAGCTTTCAGTTGCTATATTCTAGTCATGAGATTCATCTAACCAAACCTCAATTATGTCAGTTAAATCATATTTGCCTTCCTGTATGAAAAGTACAAGCTCATCTTATTTATTTTCTATACCCTGAGCATTAGTATATAGACAATGAAGAGCATGAAATTTATGAGCCAATGTTCTTCCTGATTCTTTATTGAGTGGTTTAATAGGTTCTGTTAAAGCAACATTCCATAAACCTGGCAGATTATAACTGCAGAGTCCTGTCACCACAGTAGAATGTTTTTGTTTTTCTTTGACCCCTTTATAGGCTTTCAGGAGAGCTAAGTACACAGTTAACTTAGATGAAAAAATGCTTAGGAACTCCTCCCTGACAAACTAATGTTATCTTTCCCTGGAAAGTGGGTGACTTAATACACTTTCTACAGTAAATAATCTCTCAGTCACCCATAACGGGCAATTAGAAGCTCTTCAGACCCACCTCTTGCAGTCAGGAACTATTCTGGAGGACTGTGATGCCTCTCATAACTGAGCACACAACCCCTTTGAGCACATAGCTTCTGGTCACTCTCTTCCACTGTTTCTTCCTTCTGTGACGAGGTCCTTCCTTCTCTGACAAGCTCCTGTTAGCTTTCTCTGTTCACATGTTCGGCGTTGGGATTTTTTCTTTTTCTTTTTGGACATTCTAATATTTTTAGTGGAATGTTGTTTGACATTGTACACATTTATACTGGAATCCCAAGTCCTATTCAGTTGCATGTAGAGCTGTAAATATTTTGGAATTCTGAAGAATTCAGATTAATCTTTAAGGCATCCATAGTGGTTTATTCCATTGTTATTCCAAACAGTTAGATCTCAGGTAAAATAGGGTGAAAATGGTTGACTTGCTCTTAGGAGAGAATCTTTGCTTTTCATATGTTTTGCTTTGAAACCCATAAAATGATTTCTAATATTATTTTTTCTCAGCTTTGGCAAATTTTGTTTTGATTACTTAATGTTTGCAACTAGAATAATCCTCTATGAAGATTATGAAATTATTTCCTTATCCATTAAGAAATCTCATGGAACTTTTCAAGGATATCCCTGATTTCCTTATGTTTTTAATCTGATGTTGGAATCAGGGGCATCCTTGGGCAGAATAAAGAAAGTAATCCATCTTTACATGTATTGCACCTTTTTGACTTTTTTTGACATCTCCTACCCCTCAAGATGCCCTTGGGTGCAAACATTCACCTGTCCTATCAAAGGAATAGAAAACAGGGCAGGTAAGATGGTGGCTGGAACTGTGCATGTTAATATTTTGTGCTGATGGCATATTTTCTCTTTATCGAGACTTATACATATTGTACAGTAGTTTGATAATTTAGCAGGTCATTTAATTAACTGGATAAATCCTATATTTTTTCTACAGCTCTCATGGTTCTATAGAAAGTTCTAATGAGTGGGAGTTTAGTTGTTTGAATATTTGGAAACAGTTACCCCGAGGAAACATTCCTCTTTTGTGGCTCTAAATATACCATTTTTAAAAAAAATCTAAGATGAAAATTGATGTAAACAGGTCATTTAAAAATTCCATGGAGTTTATGGGGAAAGTCCAGATGTAGTAAAAATAACTATTTCAAGCATATACTAAAATATTAAATTCAAAGTATTCCTTTGTTAATAACTTTTTTCCAAGCAGATTGATATGATATTAAGAATTTTTAACTGGAAAGACAAATTCACAGATGTTCTTTATCCAGTCAACTGTAGATATGATGCAGCTTTAGTTTTCTTTTTTAGCTTTCTTTGTTTGGCTTTATCATTAGGAATATATTTGCACTTCACGTCTTTATGGATTCATGGATAAAATGTCAAAAGACATTATAAAGTGTTACTCATTCAAATAATGGTAGGAGCTTGGCTGTATTTTAGCTACAGCTCTGTTGTATTTCCTGCTTTAAAGGCTGCAAGGCACATTTGGAAGATGTTGTGCCAGAAGTATAATTTTGATCCTCACTATCCTTATTCATACAAGAAACTCCTACTTTGGGATGATTCTGCATAAACATTTATTTATTTATGGTACTTTTGTGATGGTTTAATTGGCAAGTCTGAGTGGCTTACAAATACAATAAAACTTTCAACGTATGGTTCAGTACAATCAATAAAGTCATATACAGTCAGTCCAATTACTTCATAAAATAATAGATGAGTAATTACAAATAGTTTGGATAATAAAAATGGTGAGTACATCTTTTTTTTTTTTTTTGGAAGTCATGTACAATTACTGTAGATCAGTTTATTTCCAAACAAGTTTTCAAGCCATTTGGAGGAGGAATTTGGATTGCTAAAAATTGCAAAATGATAATACATTAAACTAAAACAACACTTGATTGGGAATCTATCCTGGATGCATTAGGAGTATCTAAAACTCTGGAATTATTATCCATATTGGAATATGCTTTTATCGGTACTAGAACCCAGAGTTTTTTTTTAAAAAAAATACTAATTAAAAGTTAGGGCTATGTGATGGTTAATTATTTGCAAGAACTCTGGAATAACCTGTTCGAATATTTATTAATGGAGCAATGGCAAAAAATATGCTGAGTATATTTTGTATGATTTTAAGATGAGGCAATTCAACAAAGCTCATGCTTTTGGGACTCCTCAGAGAATGTATAAAAGGAATTTCATTATGCTGGAAGTATAAAAGGGATGAGGGAACACTTGTACATATGGGTCTCTTTATTCATGTTCCATTTTTTTGTTTGATTTCAATACAGCTATTAATAGGGTATTGCAAAGATGATGACAGTTTAAGGACATGAATGTACTTTTGATATATGTATCAAAAATTTGTTATTCATTTTATGAAGAACTAGGGGTTTATCAAGGAGGAAAGGTAGCAGAGAAAATCACTGTTCAGTGTTGGAAAGATTGAGTTACCCCAGTTTTATGAACATGGATCACACATAATGTTTATTAGGAGCCCCTTCTAAGCAGCAGAAGTGATTCATTTCACTGAGGTTTCCACAATTGAACACAGGCTAAAGATCAGAATTCTCTCACATAAATAAAAAAAAAGATGTGCTGGATCACCCAAAACCCCTTTTTATCTAGTATCCTGTACCCCATAGTCACCAACCAGATTCTGGAAAGCACACAAGTAGGTCATCTTTAAAGAATTTACTATATTACTTCGTATATCTCCCTTTTTTCCCAAGATGTTTGACACGGTGTTTCGACTTATGTACTGTATGGTTATTACCAAGGGACAATTGTCATCCTTGTAAATAATGTCTGGATGCTGAGATAAAAATGTTGGACCTCCATCTTCCTAATAGTTAAAAGAGCTTTGAATCAGACAAGTATTAGAAGCGTTTTATTTTCTTGTTACAAATCTGTTCATTTTCTTATTGTGGATGCAAGAATTTCTTTTCATTCTGAAGAAGAGGTTTTAAAAGCATGCAAATAATTCAGATGCCTTTTGACTTATGTGAGTGAAGGCACTATCTTAGCTAAGATATGTATCTCTTTGTTGAACAGATTAGTGGTGAAGCTCAAGAACTTTACTCCGTCCGACACGGTCCTGTCCGAGCAGCCCGAGTCCTGCCATCACCGCAGATCAGTAAGTACAGAATCCTGCATATCAGTTCCTTTCTTTCTGCTTCCCTGCCTCAAGGAAGGAGGAGGTTGAACTTGATTGTTCATACACTTGCTAAATTCATTGGAGAGCAAGGTTCTTCTTTTTAATGCATGGAGGAACCAGGTCCTCTGCCCTTTCATAACTTTATGTTCTGCAATCCATTACTATTTATGCCTTTCTCTGCCTAGTTCACTTGTAGAATTTCAGTGAACAAGATGTTTATCTGAAAGAAGTTGGAAGGGGAAAAAAAGAAGTGGTAGCTGCTGTTGGTTGCATCTGTACCCTCTTTCATGATATTGAAGTTGACTCCTTTTCATCATCGGTCACCACCACAACAAGCAATACATTATGCAAGCAAGCAAGCCAAGCAAGCAAGCAATACTACAGTCTGAACGTAGGAGGCATGTGATGAAATATGACATTGCAATATGGTTTAATTTGATCATCAGGAAAGTACTTTGAGGCCAGGGTGGGTTGTGAGTGGCCAGCCTGAATCTAGGCCAGAGTTGCCAATTTTATCTTAAAAAATACCAGCATGTTATGCCAAAGCAGGGACCAAGAATGGAGGGTTATGGACTCCATGCGCAGACTAACTCAGTTTTGTCTTTTAGAAATCCCCTGGATTATTTGGAAGAATATAGTGCTGGGAACACAATAACTGTTTAGTCCTGGATTTTGTAGTGCTGTGTGTGTGTGTGTGTGTGTGTGAGAGAGAGAGAGAGAGATCGAGAGAGAGATCAGTGTTATGCAGCGTACAGCACCAGATGGGCTTCTAGGAACTGATGTCCACCACTCAGCATAGCCTTGGTCAATCAAGGCTTCCACATAACCTTTTTAGTAAGTTAGAGAAAGTACAGAATATGGTACCAGCTTCAGTTGTACCTGTGGCACCTGCAACATTAATTCATTGCTAATGGTAAGGATGTGTTGCTGGTCAGTTTTGGCAAGTACAACCTAGTTTTACCTTGCACGTGTTCATGCTATTCTATGCAAACTAAGAATCTGGAACTACCTTGCAAGCCAACATAGTGTTGTTTACATCCCACCAAGTAGGAGGTACATGTTGTCACACTAGGCAATTGCTGAAGAAAGCATATACAACATCTCTTTTTGGCAAAACGTTTACAAAGTTTTGGGATTTTTAATTTTATTTATTTATTAGATTTATATCCTGCCATTTGTATGGGAGCTCAAGGCAGCCTGTATAGTGCTCATTTCTCTTTATTTATTTCCACAACAACAGCCCTGTGATGTAGACTGGGTTGAGAGAGAGGGTGTTCCAAAGTTACTCAGTGAGCTTCTGTGGCCAAGAACTTGGAGCTCCCTGTTCCTAGTCCAGCACCTTCACCATGTGTAGAGAGCCACGGAAATGATCTTGGAGGAAATATGTAGAAACAGTTACAAAAAGAAAAGCATGCTTTAAGCTTAGGAAACAGAGAAAGTGTGAAAAAGAAGCCCAGAATGACTGTACCCTCATCATACTAGGGTATAAAAGGGAGGGAAGGGAAAACATAGTCAGGCTTTCAAGATTCTGTTATTCTTATAGCCTATATCAATATTGAGAGCCAGTTTGGTGTAGCGCTTAAGGCATCAGGCTAGAAACTG